AGGGCTGGTGGGGGGCCAGGCCATACTCCCCAGGGCCGGTGGGGGGCCAGGCCATACTCCCCAGGGCCGGTGGGGGGCCAGGACACACTCCCAGGGCCGGTGGGGGGCCAGGCCATACTCCCCAGGGCCGGTGGGGCCGCCAGAGGCAGACAGGACAGGAGTCTGGGTCTGCGGTGACTAATCGGCTGGTGCTTGGGAAGCCATGGTGAATTATTCACACGGATTCTGTGAATTATTCAAGTTGTTATTATTTATTTTTCAGATGTGCCTGCAGCAGAGCTTCCAGGCCCATGTTCAAAGGATGACATAACTCCGGCTCTTGATCGCCTGTCTGGGAGAAAGAATCAGGCCTCTCTCCAGCCTCACCCAGGAGTGCCAGGGAGCAGGCTGAGGGCCGGGGGCCGCTGCCTTAGGGGTAGACTCCTATGGCACCCCAATCCTAACTGCAATTACAGAAATAAGTTACCTTTCTGAGCCCCCACTGTGCCCCCGCGCTGTGCTTTCCACGCACAGGCTCAAGTGAACGGCATAGCAACCCTATGAAGAGTATTATCAACCCCATTTTACAGATGACAGAACTGAGGCTCGGAGATGTGGGGTCACTTGTCCAGGGCCACCAGTTTGCAATTGGGATTTAGCCCAGGTCTGCGAACTCTAAAGCCAGTGGCTGCCATGTTGCATATGTCTGTGGTGTTGTGCCTGACAAGGTCCTAGTTGTACCCCGAGCCCCACCACCAGCTTCAAACCACACTGAGGGCAGGCAGGTGCCTCCAGGGCTCTCAGAGGAGCCTTCCGTATCTCCATGGCAACAGGATCCTGAGCAGCCAGGGCTGAGCTTGCTCTGCTTCTGAGAAGCGGAAGTGGGCTTTGCCTGCAGAGCCCCAGGGGCCCGACTCTGAGCAAGTGTGCCTTGGGGCTCCCCCAGGACCCCCACCCTCACAAAGGCCCCTCCTGCCCCAGACACAGACCGAACACTCCTCCCTCACAGAGCTCTGGTGGAGAAGCCACCCAGCCTCCCTGCCTCCTTCACATAACTCCCTGCTGTCCAACTGCATCCCTCTGGCTGCAGCTCCAGTCCTCGTCCTGGGGAATCCCCCTGCCCCTCCTCCCATAGCTGACATCTGGAGGAGGCAAAGAGGGCTCCTTCTCAAGGTGACTATAATTCACAGAAACATCCCCTATCCCGGAAGGGCATCTTTGTCTTCCTACTACCCCATTCATTCATTCATCTTCTCAGTCATTCAATGAATACTCAAGTGCCCACTATGTGCCAGGCACTATGTGCTAGGAAAGTGGCCAAGAGCAGCAGGCCTCCTTGTCAGTGTCCCTCCCCTCTCAGTGTAACCTGGGCCCCTCTCCCAGGACCTGTCTCTCCTGACACCAAGGACACAAAATCGCAAGGAAACTGGGCTCGAGCCTGGCTCCACCAGACCCTGACTCTCTGGGTGGCCCCAGCCAGAAGCTCCCCTCTCCGCCTTTTCCCTTTTGTAAAATAAGGGAGGAGGCCAGAATCCGCTCTCTGAGTTCTTGCCAGCCCTGCTTCTCTCAGGTGCAGTAACTCAACCACCACTTCCATCCACAGCTGTAGTCAGGGCTGCGCACGTGCCTCCCCTCAGGTGGACCCAATGACTGCCTCCCCGCCCGCTCCCTGCATTTTTAAAGAAGCGTCTGGGATGGCTCTGCTGCTAGGGGTGGGTTTTGCCAGAGAAGCTTGGGGGCTGGCGAGGAAAGGACACAGACATTGGCAGCGTGCCTTCCCTCTCCTCGGTAGCGTTCCTTCTTCATCTCTGCAGAAGTGGACATGATGACCCCCATTTTACAGACTGGGACCCAGGCCACACAGCCAGTAAGTAGCAGCACTGGGGTTTGAACCCAGGCCCATGGCTGCCCATACATACTCCTGCTCTGACACCAGGCTGTGTCTTCGTCTCAGCTGGGCCTTGGGGACATGCAGGGTGTTGTGTTGGAGCTAGGGAGGAGAGAGCTCTTCACTGAAGCCAGGGGGTTGGGTGCCCCTGATTTCTACCTTCTCCACCAAAAAAAGACAGGAAAACCTTGGGCCCAGCTGCGCTGAGTCATCCGGGGCCCAGGAAAATCAGGTTTATATTTACCCCAAAGCAAACGCCTCAGCAGGCTTGGGGCTGGACTTCTTTATCTCAAAGCACCTGGCTGGTCAGGCAGGTAGATAGGACCACGGAACTGCAATGCACTGCGTGGGGCTGAGCCATCGCCAGCCCTTGGGGCACCACCTCCGGCCCAGTCAGTGACCTTGTGGGTTGGACCCTGGTCTCCACCTCAGCCTGGGCCTTTCCCCAGGTGCCCCGTGTCTGAGTCCCGGGCTTGTTCACACTGGACTCCATGTGAGGGGAGAAGGGATCCTGCGGGAGTGTGTGTGACACAGGTGGGTACCAAGCTTCCCCCTGAAGCTCAGAACTGCCCGGCTGACCCTTCAGTGCCTGGGCTCTGGGGCAATCCTGAGGTTGAATCCTGGGGCCGACACTCACTAGGTAGGCAGCCTTGGGCTAGGCACTTCATCTCTTTGACCTCGGTTTCCCCGTTGGTAAAGTAGGAATGACCCTGTACCCTCCTCCGGGGGTTGTTGTGAGGATGATACCAGATGACATGTGCTCAGGAAAGGCCAGTAAGGATGAGCATGGCACCCCACCCCTGTCCCTCTTCTCCCCTCCCCACCCCCACCCTGGGGCTGAGACTGGTCCTGGGGCTGCAATTTTGGGAAGACTGAACTTGTCCAGCACGTTCTCAGCTCCTCACAGCTGCAGTGCACCTGGTGGCCCCTCTCAAGGCTCCAGCAGGAAGCCAGCTCTGCAGACCTTGGTCGGACAGACTGGGTGGCAGGTCCCCTGAGGTCAGACCCGGAGGCCAGAGAGCTGTCTTGTGGTCTCAGGGGCAGAAGATTTAGGGCTGTGATCTGGGGCTCTGGGGGTGACCCCACTTCATCCTGGGGAGCTACCATTTAGGGAGAACCTGCGTCCCAGGCAGTATATGTTCCCTATTGCACTTCCTCTCACCCTGGCCAAGATTAAGTGGTGCTATCAGTTCTGCTTACAGCGGACAGACCTGGGCGCGGTCTTCGCCTGAAGGTCATGGGGCAGGTCAGTGAGGAGCGGGGGTTGGACGGTCTCCACAATTCCAGTCAACATGATTGCAGTTCACGTGTGCGCTTGGTGTGTGACCCACCTCCCTGACCCTTCCCCATGGTGGCCGGTGGTCAGGCCAGGGTCAGCACGCTGCATGCTTTTCCTCATGTACCTTTCACAACAGCCCTCTCAGATACAGCCCGTTGTTATCATTATTCCTACGTCACGAGGAAGGAAACCCACGCGGAAAAGCTGGGACTCTAACTTCCTTAGCTTGACTCTTTCACTGTTACATCTGGGATTCTGGGAAAATACCACACCCCATTAATCCTCCATGATTGTGCTTCACCTCCAAGGCCCCCCTCTGCCTCACTACCCACCCTTCCTTCTGTTGGGGGTCTCCTCACCGTACCTGTGCCCTCATTGTGACCCCTCTGACCCTGAGCCACCGTGGGCAGAAGTGGGACCCCACCCCCAACTCCAAACAACTAACTGCCCTTCCCGCTGCCTCGGGGCCCATTGGGAATGTGCCCCTAATTGCAACCCAGGCTGGGAGGCTATTAGCCTGTGACTGTGATAGGGGCAGAAATAGAATATTGGGGACCAGCTATAATTGTAAGAAATATTAACCATGCTCTGTTAACCGTGATTGTTTTGTTCTGATTAAAGAAAGCATGTTCTAACCTGGCTGGGAGTTGCATGTGGGACATGGGTCTCACCTGGAAATGCAGCCCTTCCTCCCCATCGGGGAGCTGCCTATTCTGGAAAGATAAACAACCTTGTTGCAGAAACCAGAGCCCCCAGCCCTTTGAAGACCCCCAGCCCTTTGAAGTCCCCCAGCCCTTTGCACACCAGCAGCCCTTTGCAAATCCCCAGCCTGCATTACCTATTAGCTCCCCATTTGGCATTCCCTTTTGCCTACTTCCCCATGTAACCTTTGTCCTTCTACCCAGTATAAGCAGCTGGCTTATGGTGGGATGAAGAGCAGATTTTTGTGGGTGACCTGCTGCTCTCCCATGCTGCTGGCAGTATTGGAATAAACACTCATATGATTCAACCCTGTTTCTGCTTAATTGGCTCAAGTAGTGACAGGCAGCATGGACCCATTGGTTGTCCGGTTACAATTGCATCCCCAGTGCGTGCCTTGCCCCCTGGATGCCCACTCTCAGCTTCCACAGGGTTTGAGATGATGTAAATCCCAATCAAAGAGCCTGGCCAGCTCTGCTCCCAGCACCCAGTCCTGGGTGGGCTCCTCTCCAGAGAGCTGGGCCCCCTCACGGAGGGGCAGCAGGAGGGAATTCCCAGCCAGTCAAATGCAGCACACGCATCTAAGCACACACCATGGCAGCTGCTGCCCAAACCTCCGACCACCCCCTCCCCACGTCCTGCCCCCTCCCGCTACCTGCCTCCACTTCCTCCCAGGGTCCCTCCATGAAAGGGCAAGATCCTGGGAGTTTGGACTTCTGAGTTCTTTTCCTGGCTCAACCACTCCCTCCCTGCGACCTTGGGCAAGTCCTTTTCCCTCTCTGGGCCTCAAAAATAGGAGGTGACCTCTGACCAGCTCCTAGTCTGAAAGTTAATACCACCTTGGTAATTCCTGGGTGTACTTTCCACTGATCTCTAGTGGATGTCAAGCACTGAGGATTCTAGAAAGGCCCTCACAGAGTTCTCAGGCTCCAGAGGGAGAGGACCAGGCAGGTGTGACATGGAGTGACATGGGGCCCAGGCTGCAGTGGGGCTGGGGGAGGCCAGTAGTGCCCTGGGGTACGCAAAGGAGAAATCTAGCTTAAAGTGGGGGGTCTGAGAACTTTCTCAGGGTTTCTGAGACCTAAAGATGAGGAAGAAGGGTAGGCCAGGGTGGCTAGACCAGCCAAGGAAAGAGCAGAAGGAAGAGGCCTGGAGGCTTTGGGGGGAGGGGGTGCTCATGTAGAGGCTGGAGGGTGGGTGGAGGCCCTGTCAGCCTTGTTGGAGAGTTTTGACTTATTCTGAGGGCATGGAGGAGCTATAGAAAGATGTGGGGCAGGAGGGTAATGTGGCTGCCATATGGAGGAAGGATTGGGAGCCAAAGGGGTGAGGGCGGGAGATCTTCCAGGAGGCTCCTAACCATCTGTCTCACCTCCACCACGTGTGGGAACAGCTCCCGCCTGTCCCCATTGGAAAAGGAAGCCAGACTTTCTTCTCCTTTTTCCTCAGACACTCTGTTTGCCCTCTTCTAACACACACACACACACATATGTATATATATATATGTGTGTGTGTGTGTATGTGTGTGTGTGTGTGTTGTGGGCTCGATCCCTGCTGCAGGTCGCCCAGGGGGACATGTAGAGGTCGGGGAGGTGACCCAGAGGCTTGTGTCCTAGGGAGGGACGGGGGTCTGGAGGTTTGCTGCCTGGCTGCAGCTCCTGTAGGAAACAACTGCTGGTCACTCGGAGCACAGCAACAGCCCTGCCCTCGCTTAAGCGGGGAGCTCTGCCTGAGCCACAGACACTAGAGCTGAGAGCAGCCTTTAGTTCCCCTCTTCCTCTTCCCTCGCCTCTCCTCCCTCCTCTTGACTCTGGACTCTCAAGGTCCCTGCCCCCTGCACTCTGTCTCCACCAAACCCAAGACCCCTTCCCAGAGAGGGACCTGAGCGGGCTGGGTGCTCAAGCCAGACTCCAGCCAGCCATCATCCCCTACACCCTGCAGGGGGGCCGGCCCTTCCCAGGATTGCCCCTGGAACACACATTTCCACTTTTCCCAAGTCCTCAGCCTTCACCAGCCAGGACCATCTACCTCCTCACTCCTCTCTCCATGTCCACCTTCCCCTCTCCCATCTGTTCCCCACATGCAGCCAGACAGCGTTTCTCTGAGAAGCCTCTCTGGCCTGGCTCCCGACTGCCCGCTCACCACCACAGAAGGAACTGCCCTCCCAGCCGCCTGCATTCTCATCTCCAAGCCTTTTGCACTGGCCTTTCCACCCTCAAGCCCTCTGACTCTTCCTCTCCAGACAAATCCTTCCTCATTCCTCAGGTCTCAACACACAAGTCAGCTCCTGCCAGAGCCTCTGGACACTGCAGGGGCACCCCCTGGGCTCCCATAGCCCCACAGCTTGGCCTGTCACAGCTCAGACCACACTGTACTGTAGATTTCTGTTGGACATGTTCACTCATTGCCCATATGTCACTGTATCAATACGAGCTCAGTGGATCCCAAGTGGACGAAAGCTGAGTGAGAGGGAGAAAGGATGGTGAGTACCACACTGTAGGGCTCGAATGCCAAACATACTGTAGCTACTTCTACACGTATAACAATGGCGGCTCCGTTCCTTATTGTGTGCCCACTCCAGCCAGGCACTGTGCTAAGCACGACCTCATTTCATTCCCCCAGTGACCGTGAGAGGGGGCCTTATTGCCAGCATCCCCATTTGACAGATAAGAAAACTGAGGCTCAGAAAGATTCATTTCACCAAGGTCAGAGAGCCGGAAGGTGGTCCAGGCTACATCCTCCCAAGTGCTTGGGTAGGGGGTTTGAGATAGTCCTTGCTCTGTGTAAACTGCAAATGAAATTGGAAAAGGCTACTTATCGGCTCTAGAGCCCTCATTGGTCCTAGAGAGGAGATCGCCAGAACGCTCTCTCCCAACCAGGAGAAGTTCTCCGGCCATGGGGTAGGGCTTCCTGAGTCCCTAGGGTGAAAGTGTGTCACCCACCCTGGAACCTTCCAGAAGGTGTCAGGGAAGCAAACCCC